GCAGCAATTCAAGCAATTTGGCACGTTCATTTTGCGGGTCCTGCACATGCCACATTAGAGTGTAACATTTTGTCGGTGATATATACAGTGCGCCTTCAGCAATGCGAAGCATAGGGCACCTTTATAAGCAACGCTTCTGACAAAGTACTCTAGCTGGGGAAACGGTGGCAGGAGGTGTACTCTTTGATTTATGCCTTTCTTTCAACGGGTTGGTTCAGATAATTCCCGGTTGACTCAGTGGAGCCGTTCTGGTGAAGCATTTTGGCCAGCTTTTGGATTTGACCCCATCAAGTTGGTTGAGTATGGCGAGACTTTCTACATTCCTTACAGTGATTGACATCTGAAAAGTGATTACACACACTGGAGATCAAAAGGGTTCACTTCGCTCTTGAATGGGTGATTTTGCTAATTAAGTGTACATTATAATAGCCAACATTGTGCAAGTCATTCAAAGCATTTCGAATTGGAACATCTAATTGCTTCCACTAAAATTCGTCAGGTGCGCGCCTGATTTTCGATTGTGCAAAATACGAGCGCTTTCATTCGATTGTGCAAAATACGAGCGCTTTCATACTTCGTGGTTGTGCGATCGTATGAGCGCGCGCTTCGTCTTCAGGGTAATCGTGCCGGGACCGCGCGCCGGATGCTCAAGTGCGATTTTGCCGTTTACCTTACGTCTTAAATTCAATGTTAATGAAAAAGAGGAGCTAAGAATCAGGTAGAAATGAGAAACAGTGAAAAAGGGATTGAATACCGGAAGAAAGAACATAAAGGGAAGCTGGGGTCTGGTACAATTGAAGCGCAACAATTGCAGCGCGACAAGTCTGATCGCTACCTAATGTGTTGTTCCCTTGGAACTGCCATTCAGTGAATGCTTGCCTCGAGTGGATTTGCTTCCGCCGTCGTTCGTTAATCCAACATCTCACAAACTACAATCCTCCGCATAGTGAAAAGTTACTGACTCGAGAATAACCTTCCGTTCGTCCTGCCTCTGTTTCAACCCTCCCGCTGGGAAAAAAATTCAAAGGAAACGTAACTCTTTCGTCGTCTCGCTGCGCTCAACCAATTCGTGAGCGTTCTTCCTCGTTCAAGTACTCTGACCAAAGTCCCTAAACTGTTCTGCTTCCGCGGCTTCATATTAGGTTGTTCGAAAAGTCCTGCGACACTTTGATTGAATTGTTCTAGAAAAAGACCAAAAATCATTTTGGATGTTTTTATCCCTGATTAGTGGAGACTGTCCTCTGGGGTTTCTGCACATGGGTATATCATGTTGAGGAAGTTTTCAAAGCTTAAAAGTCCCCCAGAGATCGAGGTACTTTTCGACCTGTCCCATATTATGAGTTCCTGTAGGGCCACTTCGCCGTAGTCAAGGAAGCTGACACCTACGTTGTCTTGAGGAAGGATATCGCTTGCCATGGCAGAGGGTAGCTTTTGCATCAGCGCTTCCAGGCTGGACTTATTTAACTCGTAGTTGGGCAATGTATAGGTCGCCCATCAGCACAGAATGACGGCCTTTTACTCAAGCTTGAAGGCGCATGCCGGCACGTACCAACCGTAGTTGGCGCCTCTCTAGGCTCCATCTGACTAACAACTGCCATGCTTCTCCGCAATCTTGGTTATCGGAAAAATTTTTGTGAAGGATGCCTCATGAGTTGGACCGTCTGACAAGTCATACCGAATGACCGTGACTGAGTTTTCCTTGTACACAGCGAAAGAACTTTTGTGAGATCTTGTGGTTGGTAGCGAGTGTTGGAGTCCTTGCGTACATCATGCACATGTCCCTTGCAGAATCTCTCAACAGAAAAGTAGATTGCTCAGCCGAAAGAAGATGTGCATGGGATAAAGATTTCAGTGTGTTATTGGTGAGACTTCAAAGCGGTACTCCTGTTCAGCATTCCGTGTAGGACCAGTCCGCCTAATCGCTTCAAAAATACTGGTGAGTCCCACGCCTTGAATTCATCTCCGGATCTCAATTTTTCTCCTAACTACTTCCGGGGCGGGCGGGGCCGCCGGGGGCGGGGCGGCCGAATGTGAGGACCGACGCAGTGGGATCAGGTTCGCCCACAAAGATCCATGCAACTTCGAAATCTCTTCCCCCGAAAAAGCGAACATCAAAGCCATTGAAAAAGTGTACAGAACAGTTTTACACGTAAGTTAATGCTCAGATGTTCGGGGCTTAGCTATTCCAATATCCCTATTGGCAGTGTTAGGAATTCCTCGTATGGTCTCCTCGAAATCCATTGGAATGGAGGAGGAAAAGATACGACTTACTCATGACCTTCAAAATTCTTAGAAACTTGGTTAAATTGAATGTTGAGGACTTCTTCAATGTGTTGCCAGCTAGCACAAGGGGAGTTTCGTTTAGATTGTCTATCAGCACACGGCTAGATCTAGGTAATCCCACCACCCCACCACCCCCGCCGTCGAAGTTTTTCAGCTGTAAGTGTCTCACTATTCAACTTCTGTTGCGTTCTAATATAATTCCCTCTACAAGTATTCCAATCTTCACGAAAACATTTTGTGACCCCCTTGTATTTGAATCATCCTCTCTCACCCCCGCTTATGTTGTTCCTTACACGCTACTGTGGAATTTTGAAACTTGCTTTTTATTTTATTTTACGATGTTGCTCATGACATGTCCAATAAATAAAGTAAATACAATAAATAAATTTCGATCAGAGAATGCGACCGTACTCAGGTTATTTAACAAAGTTAGCAGCTTCTAATTACCACCTCCTTTGGTCACTATCGCATCCTTCAAAAAAGCAAAAGTTCCGAAAATCAACCTCAACTCGAGAATGAGGTCCACCTCTTCTTTTTACCACAGTTGCCGTAGTTCTATGAGAATGGAAATGAGAAGCTGTGCAAAAGAAAGGCACTAGTCCTAGTCATCAACTGCGGTTACCTTGTAGATTGGAGATGTCCTTTACTGACCAGGAAATTTAGTTCGAAAAATTTGGTCAAAGTGTGCTGCAGGACTTTCGAACACTTACATGCAGGGCATTGTAGGCTCATCAAGTGTCGTTTTCTGAACGCCCTAGATGTCCGCGTCACAAAACCTCAAAGGGCTATTTTCTGTCGCGAAATCAGTTTTTACTGTTTTTTTTTCACTGTGTAAATGACATCAGCATAGAATGAAAGGATTAGTGGCCTAGAGGCGGCAGAATCTCGCTTTGCTGACATAAAACGAGCAGGCCCGGAGAACTTGTATAGTGAGGCTGCAAGCGGGGCTTGAATGTCTTCTCTATGTCTTTCGCTTTTTTCTCCACCAGAGGGTCAGTTTGGTTCGCAATTGAACGTTACTGTCCAATATGCAATCGCGTTGTTTGGCTTTAACAAAAAAAGAGATGTTCAACTCCTAGAACATTCGCTTGGACGGTGCAAGTCACGAATTTGCCGGGAAGAGGCGGATCGATTTTTGGTTGGTGGTGATACTCCAGACACCTGCACTCCCAATGACACACCTACACTCTTTAAAAAGGAGCAATAATAGGAGCTGTTTCAAGTTCACACACAGCATTTCGTAAAAAAAAGCTGAAGATAAATCCTCTCCTTGCTTATTCCCGAAAAGGGATACCAATGCCTTTCCCACTGGTATCTCTTTTCAGGAAGAGGCACGCATTCTACTTCCCTTCAAGAGTGGATTAGCGACATATCCTAGAAAGTGTAGGGGGAGGAGTAGGCAGGAAGCTACAGGCTCAAACCGGCACTTTCTCAACTATTAAACCCTAAATTCTCCCGTTGGGGATCATCTCTCGTCGATGTGGAAAAACGAACGAAACCAATGAAAATTGGGAAATGATCAAGAAACCACGAATGAAAATGCTTACTTCGTTCCAGTCATCAAAGAAACCAAGTCGAGAATTTTCCACACATTTCGATGCTCCGGTTTCTACGTCGTCATCCGTGTATTCGGTAGCGGTTTGTTCATGATTGCCACGAGTAAAAGTTAGTGTAGTAGCATTAGTTCCACTTAAATCCATCATTTCCACGTCGCTGAATACACATTTTGCGAAGGTGTTGAAGCATACAAAAAAGGCAACACTGCTCCACTCTATGCTCGAAAAGTAGTATCTCAGAGCCCATATCAGAAAGGAACTCACTTGTCTTCGTCTATGTATTTCATATCTTCTTTTTCGTATCGTACTCTGAAACATGTTACAATGTTGAATGTTACAGGTTAGTTGTTAGTTTGTACCGGATTGCGTTTAAAAAATCAAATACCGAAACTAACAAAAAAGTTCAAAGAGTGGTGCTTTAACGTATAAGAACACATAAAATTGAAACCACAACAACATATCACCGTTTCCAATGTTCTACCATTTACACGTTACTGCCCCAATCACCCGAATTCAGGCCAGTTTTCGGCTGAATTTTTTCCCAAAGGGCAGACCTGACCAAAAAGTTCTACCCTCGGGTACTTCCATCTCCTGAACTCGAACATCACATTAGCCTGGGCGCAAACCTCTTGGCGCCCGCGCACCCGAAATACACGAACACACTAATTTCACTGAAAGCTTCTTCCCAGAAATAGTCGGATCTCGTGAACACGAATATCACATCCGCTGGTCCCGAAAGCTCCCGGTATCCATGCTATAGGCGCCGGCGCCGCGAATACCCTAAATCACCAAATTTGTTGAAAACTTGTTCCCAGGGTAGTTTGACCCTGAACACAGTTATCACACCAGTTAGGTCTGAAAGCACCCGATGCCTACCTAACAAGCGACTCATCACATGTTCCGCCGCGTGTAGCACGAGACCACTTGATTTCATGACGAGCGGTGAGCTAGAGCAGTTAGGGACGGTGAGAAAAGGCAGCACTCTTCTGGTTGCCAGTGATTGTGGTACTTCCCTTCACTAAGGCACAGCCTCAGCAGAGGGAGAGATCATTATCCCGAGCGAAGGGTGCAGACGAGTAGAAGCACCGCGCTATCAGATGTACCCCTTTGCCCCCTTCCTCAGTTTTCTCAACACCTCATACAAAGGTGTATTCGTGTTCGGGGAGGTGAAACTACTCCCAAGGATAAGATTTTAACAACTCTGGTGCTTTAGGCTATTTTGGCGCCAGCCCCTGTGGGGCGCCAGGTTTCGGGTCGGGCGAATCTGATATATCGGGGTTCAGGGAATCAAAGTGCTTTCGGGAACAAGTTTCCAGGAATTTGATAACTTGGATGATTTAGCGCCGGTGCCAAGAGATTTCGAGCCAAGCTGATCTGATGCTCGTGTTCGAGAACTGCTACTTCAGGGTAAAGCATTTTGTCAAGTCTGCCCTCAGAGAAAAAAAAAATGGAAAGCTGGGCTGACCTCGTAAGGTTTGAGGCAGTAAAGGGTAAATAGTGTCAAAATTATGATAACTGAAAAATGCCTTTTTTAGGACTTTGAAGAGCTTCAAGTGGAGTGCACCACCAGGGAACACGGTACTCATAAAACTCACGGTTTCTTTTTAGTCGAAGTAAAAGCTGAGAAAGTCTCAATCCTCCTTGTCATAAACGAATCATCAAAAGTTGTACATTTGCCTAAACAAGCAGTAAGAAATATAGAGAAATAGAGGAACGGCGAATATCGAGGATTTTTGTTTCAAATAGCAAACATGAATAATGAGCTCCCCTACCGTATTAGTAAAGAGACGAATATTTTACAAATAATGACATTGTTTGATATAAAGATGAGTACCGCGCTCAAGGAAAGCTAAATGAGTTTTGGTAAAAGCCAAAAATTCCAGAGGCTACTTGTTTTATTCCTGATGTTCATGATTCTGATGATTTACTAAGATTTCATGATTACGACACTACAGGCTGCCATTATTTAGCAGTTTCTTTTGCTTACTCTTTTGGCACTCTGCTCCCTAAATATGCTCGGAGGGGCATTTTGATACTCCTTTCGAACTAACCAAGCGTATAAGCCCTTTCAACTCCCATAAAACTGAGAATATGGGACCAGTTTTATTTGTAAGTCATCTCTATCTTCCCGAAACTGTTTTTCAGCAGTTGTGTGTTGGCGAAGACGTGAACAAAGGGGGTTTGGCATCGGAGGCGAGCATTTTTGCCTGATCTTAAGTCTTCTCCGAAAAGGAATAGCGCAGGAGACTACAGAAAAGTTTCTACAGTAAGCCACATTGAATTGCCACCACAACTACAAATAGCAGCTTCATTTCATTGTTGCGTTAACTGGCAAACCCTAGCGTACTCAAGAAGCCAACAACAGATGTTGCTCTACAAATGGACGGCGAGTACCTATTGCTGGTCAAAACCGAAGTTTAAATGTGAGCTCTTTAGAGCATGTTAATGAGAAATAACAAAGCTCACCCACCAATTTTATAGTCCCTGAAGTTGTTGTTAGATTTGATTTCTCCCACCAGCTTCTCCAGACATGATTGCGCGGCTGGTGTTAGTTTTTCTTGTTCGCGTCCACAAGTTACCACATCAGCACCAGCTCCAGGAGATACTCCACCCGATTCCTATAGGTAGTCATTAACTACTTACTCCACCTAATAAAACACAAAATGATAATTATTGCATACGCGCATTGCTCAACAAACAGCCACATACAGACATTCTTCGCATGCAACCACTAGGATGACGGAGAAGTCATCTTTTCTTGAAATACCAGTCGGATCGCCAGGCTGTCGCCGGGCGCTCTCCTTCTGTGATGCCCGGCTTCGGCTCGGGTATGCGATTTGCCGCGTGCTAAGCTAAGGATCGTTGACCAACCACACTGTTCAAAGGAATCTTCTGCATCAGCCAAGAACTGAAAAGCAGCGCTTGTTCCGTCAAGGCGCAGAAGCAGCAGCAGCGCCCCCCCCCCCCCCGCATCACAGAAGGAGCTAAACAAACGGACACAGAAGGAGGAGAGAGCCGGCCCTAGCCAACGATCTGACTGGTACGTTCATAACCTACAGGGAAATAGTGCAGCCTGTTAGGACAGCCACTGAAGCAGCCTATAATTTACGCAATCTGTCTTCCTAAAGCGTCTTGCTTCGATGCACTCCCGCATTCAGTAGTGGAACCCTTTAAATGGCCCTCACTAAAGTTGTTGATGGAGTATAATTGTGGTAAGAGTGATAAAGTCAGTTACTGCTGTTCATAACATCTGTAAACAGACCCCATGCATTTGGATTAGAGCTAGCTTAGCGGTCGTACATGACGTCGTTACTAATGAGCAGTGAGGAATGAGTTCTGTTGGAATCATTGAGATCGTTATACTTGAGTCATATTGATCGCATTGTTGTTGTCAGCGGTGAAGCGGATCTTTACAATGATTAAATCATACAATATATATAAGCTCTAATAACTTACCGTACCGCAATTAAATATATCGAGTCCCGATTTCACTATCATATCAACCATATATCGCCAAATCGAGATCTCCTGTTGACGATAACCATGATACGAATCTGATGACCCTCTCCTTCCGAGGCCACTTACCGTATCTTATCCTGTTAACACTTTCTGTCGCCTGCCAATAATGTTCCCGCCCCACACCCTTCCACCTCACGGATCTGAGGTCCCATTATTTCGTCCTCGCTCATCGCGCTACGAATTTGGTGATCATCCTCTTCCGAGACCCCTTTAGGATCTTATCAACTGTTATCACTTTCTGTCGCCCGCCAATGATGTTACCGTCCCACACCCTATAGCACCTCTCGGATTCAAGGACCCACTGCTCCTGTGAGCCGCACTATGAATTTGGTGAGATCACATCCTGTCACCTATCAATGATGTTTTCGTCCCACTCCCTATTTCACTGCTCGGAACCACCGTTCCACTTGCTCTGTGGCCGACCTATGGACTTGGCCGTGACCATCCTCTTTGAACGCCTCTTATCGAACCTTATCAACTAATATCACATCCTGTCAGCCACCAATGGTGTTCCCGTCACACCCCCTCCATCACTTCCTGGAATCAACGCTTCTCTGCTACTGGGACAGGTGTTATGAATTTCGGGACATACACACACAACAACACACACAGACACACTTTGCGGATTATATATAGTAGGATGCTTCCATACTGTCCCCTACTATGTACACATTGTGACCATTGCCCCAATGTAACGCTGAAATCTATCCTTTTGTTCATTCTTTTCTTGGGGTTAGTGCCAAACATCTCCATAACCTTCACACAAAATTCAGCATCCTGTTAGAGCAGCCTTTGAAGCATCCTACCTCTCAATGCGTTCTCCACCACTGTAGGGTTTTTTTGCTGGAATGTACTCCCGTATTCGGCAGTTGCTGGAATGCACTCCCGCATTCGGCAGTCGAGCGCTTCGAATGGTCCTCTCTCGGGTTGTTGGTGGAAGATAGTCATGGTCATAATGATAAAGTCAGTTGCTGCTGTTCTCGGCAAATGAGTAAACAACCGTCATGCATCTGAACTCCAGCCGCTTTAGCGGCCGTACATGATGCCAAAAACGATAAAGGTTAGGAATGAGTTGTGACAGGGCACAGCATTGGTTGGGGATTCCCTATGGGGGGGGGTCGTATTTGGCCGTCAAAAGGGGGGGGTCGTATTTGGACTGGGAAAAATTTATTTTTCTAGTTGATTTTTCTCTCCTTGCGGACGTTTCGGAGGGGGGGGGGTCGTAATTTGGTCCTTTGTGGGGAGGGGGGGTCGTATTTCTGGCTAGGAATTATGTGGTTCACTTGGTGGATTTTTATGAATTTACTGTGTTCATTAGTATATGTACGCCCCCATCCATGTAACGTCTGCACTGCTTACCTCATACCCCGCTCGACAACTTTTTCGCCGTGAAGTTTAGAAACCACAACCATACGTCAGCCATGTCCAGCCATTCACTCGTAGAGCCCATGGGGGGGGGGGGGGTTCGTACCAGGCCCCTGAAACAAAAGGGAGGGTGGCGTCTAAAACTCGCACAAAATCCCCATCGAATGCGTGTGCCCTGTCGGACATTGCGCGTGCGAACTACTGAGAGCCTGATACCTGGATATCAATCGCATTGTGGTTATAAACGGTGTTGCGGATTTCCGGATGATGACGCTTTCATATCTTATCAGTTTATCACGTAGTGTCACCCGTCACTGGGTGTCTGCCCCTACCCCTATACCACTTCTTGGAACCAAGATCCGACAGACCCTGCAACCTGCCCTAGGAATTTGGTGACCCTCCGCATCTGAGGCCCCTTATCGAATCTTATCATATGTTATCAGATCCTGTCACCCCCCCCCCGTCCCTGCTGGTGTAGCATCTCGGAACCAAGCTCTCAACTCACTGCAGCCGATGTTACGAATTTGTGACCCTCCGCGTCCTAGAGCCTTATCGAATCTTATCAGGTGTTATCATCTGGCACCCCCCCCCCCCCAGTTATGTCCATCCTTTCCCCTGCCACTTCTTGAGATCACGGTCCCGAGTGCTGCAACTTTGCGAATACGATTCGTCACCCTCCCTTTCTACATGCCCCTCTCGAATCTTAATCAGGTGTTATCACTTCCTGTCACCCCCCCTCCCCCAATCATGTCCATCCCTTCCCCTGTACCACTTCTTGAAATCAAGGTCACGCAGCTGCTGCAACTCGCGCTACGATTTCGGTCACCCTCCCCTTCTAAGGCCCCTTATCGAATCTTATCAGGTGTTATCACCTCCTGTCACCCACCAAAAGTGTTCCCGTCCTGCCGTGCATATCACTTCTTGAAATCAAGGTCCCGCAGCTGCTGCAACTTGTGCTACGATTTCGGTCACCCTCCCCTTCTAAGGCCCCTTATCGAATCTTATCAGGTGTTATCACCTCCTGTCACCCACCAAAAGTGTTCCCGTCCTGCCGTGTATATCACTTCTTGAAATCAAGGTCCCGCAGCTGCTGCAACTTGTGCTACGATTTCGGTCACCCTCCCCTTCTAAGGCTCCCTTATCGAATCTTATCAAGTGTTATCACCTCCTGTCACCCACCAAAAGTGTTCCCGTCCTGCCGTGTATATCACTTCTTGAAATCAAGGTCCCGCAGCTGCTGCAACTTGTGCTACGATTTCGGTCACCCTCCCCTTCTAAGGCCCCTTATCGAATCTAATCAGGTGTTATCACCTCCTGTCACTCACCAAAAGTTTCCGTCCATGCCGGTTATATCATATCTTGGAACTGTCATCCTATCTTTTCTGTGACGCTCGCTATGAATTTCGTGACAGACAGACGGACGCACACACACACACACCACCATGACATACATTACTTATTGAATATATATAGTAGCGAATTTCTTTTTATAGAGAAATGTGTAAGAACGAAAGTATTATATAAAGGCAACTTTCAGTTGGAAGGGCCACGCCGGGTGTCCTGGCTACGCCGGTGCGAAGGGAGAGCCATTCAACTTTGCTGCCTGAGGTTCGGAACAACCTTTTCCGTAGGGGTGGGGTGCGAACTAATGCTGAAGTTAGGACTGCGCGGACAAGTTTTCTCTGTGATCGAAGATTCCTCCAGATCTCGCAGCTGTTTTGTGTAGGGACTGGCCACGGGAGCAGCAGCTTCATCCAGTAGTTG